GCTGCTGCTGCCGGAGGACGATCCACCGCTGGTGCTCCTGGGCCCGGCGCTGCTGCTGTTGCTGTCGCCGCTGACGAGCCCGCTGCCGCTGGCGGTCGTCCCTCTGCTGCAACGCCTGGATCTCCCGCTGCGTCCTGGTGAACCTGAGAACGGATTTCAACATAGTATTTTAGTTACATGTACAATTTTGAGAGCATGTAATTCAAGCATGTCATTACCATAACATATAACATTGTCCAAAGCATCAAACATACCACAGCGAGAGGGTCCTGCAATTCAGCTCATAGAGCTGGATGGGCGCCCGAGCCATCAGCCTCTGGTGGCCCAGCACAAGGTCCCGGTTGTGCTGGTACCGAAGCAGTATGCTGTCCCGCCGCAACCACCGGGCACCGCTCACACGGGTGCCTGAGGGGCACACGTGGCAGAGCTGGATGCACACTGCCTCTACCAGCCGGCTTGCGCTGGGACTGCTGGCAGGTCCAGAGGTCTGTCCGACCAGGCGCTCCGTCTCCGCCGCTCCACGCGTGCGGCGACGGCAATGGATAGCCATATCCCCTCCACACTCCGGCGTCGGACAAGAAGGTCATCCCCTGCGCCTCAAGCATCCTCTTCTTGGCGTCGAGCATAAGCACCTGTCCGTGCTTGTTGCCGACGTTGGTTGCCCACGCTGCGGTCTGGGCGGCAGCACCGGCGAGCTTCCGGGTCACCTGTTTGAAAGAATAATTTTACCATTTACCTTCTTGGTTGAATCCATCTTCAGGATGCTTCCAAAGATGGAGGTGACCCGGGCCTTCACGTCCTCCAGGCGGGAGAGGATGTCGTGGCAGTACACCAGTAACAGCCACCCGTACTGGGGCACGGGTGGCATATTTGGTGGTGTGGTGCACCTGCGCACAACACCTAGCGACGCGAAGGGCTCCATGACGCTGAGGTAGTGTATGGACCGCCGCATCCAGGCCTCTGTGTGTGCCTCACAGAGTTTGTTGTACAGCTGCGTGGGGCTGTTCCCCCGAGTACGCTCACCCAGCTGTATGATGACCTGCCGGTCGCAGGCAAGCCTACAGAGGAGCACATTATGTGTTACAGAAGAGCCACACACAGAGACGCTGCGTGACAGTGTTCAGACAGCTACTTACTTGTAGGTGAGGATCGCTGGGAACAGGGCGCGATGCCCCTCTCCCAGCTGACCCACGACCTCCTGCGACCAGGCAGCTACCTTCTTCTTACACGCTGTCCGCCAGCTCTCAGGCAACCGGGCCTGTGAGAAAAAAACAACACAAACAAACAAACAAACACTGTAAGGAGGCTGAGTCGGTGCTACATGCAGTTTGACAGTCGACTCCACTGAGTTGTGCGTCCATGAGTACAGGCGTGTGTGTGTGTGTGTGTGTGTGTGTGTGTGTGTGTGTTTGTACCTCAGCCGAAGCAGGAGTGGGCGCTGCGGGCTGCTCCACATTCCCCTCCTTCCTCTTCCTCTTCGTCTTCGCCGGGCGCTGGTGCCAGGGTGGTCTCCCCAGATGGCGTCTCCTCCACGGTGACCCCACGGGGCTCCTCCCTGGTCAACGCCGGAGCCCGAGCCGGAACATCGAGCGTCGGTGGAGCACCCGCAACTTGACTTGGCGGTGGTGGTGGTGGTGGTGGTGGGGGAGGGTTGGAGGACGGTGCCGGAGGAGGTGGAGATGGAGGCGTCACCACCAGCGGGAGCGGGAGAGTCTGAAGGACCTGTACGTCAGCTTCAGACACAGTCACACACAACAAAATAGCATCAGCACAATGATAGTCATGGGACAAGACTAAGTGAGTCTGAGTGTTGATGACATGCAGTATGCCAGTGATTAGGGCAGAAGGTTTAGTGCTACAAGGCCAATGTTAAGAGATGTGCTACAAAGCGAATGTTAAGAGATGCAGCAGAGCCGAGGGAAGTAGACATGTGAAGGCGTTTAATCAAATCTACATTACCACCACATGAGTGAGGATGGCACTACCACCTACGAAGATGGCTATATTACCTGCCAAACCTACCTTTGTCCTTCAAGCATCAGCTGTAGCGACCAGTAAATGAAACAATTACAAGTTAATACAAACACACTGACAGAAGAATATATATTGAAGGCAAATGTTACAGTGTGACACGTCCAGTGTGGTGCCAGTTACCTGTTTCTATGTCAGTGGCCCTCTGGACCAGTTCCTCGTCCGTCACCTCTGTGGCGTGGGGCGGCGGCGGAACCGAGGGGTGCTGGTCTCTGAAGGATGTAGACATCGCTATGGGGGGTTGGGCAATGGTTAGTAAATCATGTACACTGAACTGTACTCTGTTGTGTTAAAGAGAAAGAAAGAGATCTACCTCGAACTGCAGGCTGTGCAGGTGTGGTCATCAGCTTCCTGACCTTGGCCTGCAGCTCACCTGGGCCCATGGGACACCGGCCCAGTAGGGCCAAGAACTTGGAAGCGATCGGCTTGTGTGGCGGCAGCGCAGGTGGAAGCAGCGGCCTTGCTGGGGCCACTGCTGGTGGTGGGGGGGGGTGCTGCTGCTGCGGCTGCTGGTGGGTGGTGGGTGCGTTTTGGTTGCTCACATGCTCACATCACTGATTACTGACGTCCACGTTCTCTCATTATTGAGTTCATCTTTCATGTTGAAGAAGAAGCTGCAAAGGTTGAGAACCACTGGTCCACACTGACAGAGCTTCAGTCTCTGATCAACAGTCTCGTCCTGCATCAGAAAGCAATCAGCTGATAGATCAATAATCAGTGAATCTGTCAGAAAGAAGAATATTAAGTCTGATTGTTAAAATGATAAAAATACAGAATACAGACAGAGAATGGATCAATATATCAGAAAAACTCATCTCTGATCAATATTCACAGGAAATAATCAAACTTCCTGCAGTGATTGAGTTCACTGTTTGTGTTCATTGATCAGTTGATCAGCTGTTCTCTGCTGTTATTGATAGTGATCAATAGGTTGGGAACCAGTGGGTCATAATGTTATGGCTGATGGGTGTACAGTGTATATCAGATGAATCTGTCTGATGTTTCCAGCACAGTGACATCATGGAGGCTGCAGCAGCAGGTGACTCCACCAGTTAAAGTAACTGGATTACTTTCTGTTACTTTTTTACTCATTAACTCAACAGCAAATATGGAAATAAAGTATCAATAATCAGTATAGATCTGAGTTCAATCTATAATATTAATAATCAGTATTGATCTGAGTTCAATCTATAAGACAACAGAACAATGTGACCTTAGAAAGAACATGGAAGATTTGTCCTCTGTTCAGAGTATTTTAAATAAAAACTCATTAACTGAAAAAACATTGTAATTCAATTCAATTCAATTAAATTTGTATAGCGCCAATTCATAACAGAAGTTATCTCAGGACACTTTTCAAATAGAGCAGGTCTAGACCGAACTCTTTATAATATTAATTACAGAGACCCAACAGTACCACCATGAGCAAGACCTTGGAGACAAGGGCAAGGGAAACACTGCCTGTTAAAAGGCAGAAACCTAGGACAGATCCTCCGGCTCTAGGTGGGTGGTCGTCTGTCTCGACCAGTTGGGGTGAGAGAGAGAGAGAGAGAGAGAGAGAGAGAGACAGACAGACAGACAGGTGCACAGCAACAACAGTATTGGCAATGGCAATCTAGCAGGACCATGGCAGGAGGCTCCACCAGGATCCATGAGAACCTGCGAGACGAGAAAGCACAAGAACTACGGGAAGAAGTAATCAATAATAAATATTATATTCAATTATCTGACTCTGAGAAATGATGAAATATGCATCCAGTGCTTGCCAACCCTTTGAGAAGGCTCCATCTGTGGACTTGCAGATGCTATAAACCAGTGGTTCCCAACCTCAGGGTCAGGACCCCCACTAGGGGTCGCAAAAGCTTCACAGGGGGTCGTGAGTTCTTCTTGTTTTTAAAAACACACACAGTAGGTCTATATTTCAGCATTTAGTTCATGTCTGTGAAGATTAATTAAATTGTTGTTTTTAAAGTTATGATGATTATTTAAGATCTGAACTTTGCAGACCTGAACACAGTCAATATTCACAGAGCCAAACAGCCTCGTTCTGCATTAGATCAGTACGAGGTTAAAGTGTCAGGGAGCAAAACAAGTATAGAGAGACTATTAAGTGTTATTAAGTTTATTATTTATTAGTGATTCCTAAAAATAATAATAACACAGAGGAGTTTATAAAACTTACTACTAAACAATATCTGTCCAAAAATACTCCAAACAAACCAATCAAATAACGGAACTGCTGCTTAACAAACTAGCTAAGCGCTCTGGAAAGGAGCCAACAATAAGTCTCTATTGAATATAATATGGTGTACAACAAATACCACAGCACAATATGGCCGCTATCATTAGTGACTGGAAGCCCTTATAACATCAAATACATATTAAAAACCTTTAGAGACATAAAAATGAACGTATTGACGTATTTTAACGGAGTTTGTTACAAACCAACACAGAGCGGGAACATTCACAGGGACACAATGCTGGGGTCCACCAGGCAGGTTTACAGGGGCTCCACAAGATGGCGCCTGTGGGACACAAATAAAGCTGATAAATAAATAAAGCTGATAAACAAATAAAGCTGATAAATAAATAACCTGATAAATAAATAAAGCTGATAAACAAATAAACCTGATGAATAAATAAACCCTGATGGTAAATAGTTTGTTTACAGCATTAACAGAATATAAAAGGTTTACAGTCGACATTACAAACACAAACAGGATCAAATAGTTTCAAGGTGAAATATAGCAGTGATATAACATTAGTAACATTATACATTATAACATTAGTAGTGAACAAAACATTAACATACATATTAAATATTTTAGTATTGTGATATTGAAGGGAAGACTTATATATATGAATCAAAATGGCTGCATTCAGCATGTTTCCACCAACGAAGCTCACTCGTGTTTTTTATGAGCTGTTCAGTTTACAGGAAGTGGTGAATAGAGGAAGTTGAGGTTGAAGTCTTTGCACATTGTCTCTCTCTTTCACTTTGTACCTTGTGGCGTCGAAATACAAACGGACCAATTTCCACTCAACTAAAGGTAAATAAAGTAGAATAATCTTTCATAGATTAATATAAATTATTAATCAGCCTCAGTTTACATACTGAAAAACATAATTCCTCATCCTCATGTTTATTATTATTACAGTATTCATTAACTGATTGTGAAACAGCTTCTGTTCACTCACACTTTATATTTATATTTATTATTACTATTATTATTATTATTATTATTATTATTATTATTATATTATATTTACAGATCAATGATTACAGATCAATGATCTGATGTAAATGTGTCCGTTACTTTGAGTGTGGGAGGAGGAAATGAAAGCAGCAATAACCATACGCAGTAGAATGATTGATGTATTTTTCTCTTTTATTCTAAAGTCCAGATATTTGTGATATTTTATTAATCAGATTTAGTTGAGTGTGAGAATGCGACTCAGAAAGGTTTTTATATCTTTAATCTGTAATATGAACTTTAGACGCCATTTTAGACTGCAGTGAAACCAGGAAGAGACGTTACAGAATCATACTGATCAAAGTCAGACTACTTTATTATGTTTAGAGGTAATACTGAAGTAACAGCTATATTAGATCATCTATATTTATTAATAATTATTGATATCTGTAGATCTCTATTGTTCGACCCAGAACTAATAATTACATATAATTACTGATAGAACCTGCATTACTTTAGATTACAGAGATTTCAGTCAGTGTTCCACTCAGGTGTTCACATTGCTGGCAGCTGGAAGGTTGCTGGTTTGAATCCCCACTGAGGTTGTGAAGCTGACAGTAAAGCCTGGTGGAGCTGCTCTTGCTCTGTACAAACATGTTGCTGTGTGATAAGTAAGATCATTCAACTCTAATTCTTCTTCCTTCAGCTTGTTAAAGCAGCAGTCGCTCTTCAGTTGAATCCGTCTGATGTTTCCAGCACAGTGACATCATGGAGGCTGCAGCAGCAGGTGAGTCCACTCAGTCTTTATACAAATATACAGAGACATTTATATTTACATCTCAACTCAGTTCAACTCAGAGTGTCATTTTAATGGAGCAGCAGGAAATAGAAGAGCTTCAGTTCACAATCACTGATACATTCATGTTTTTCCTTTATTAATATTTCTGCCTTTGAAGTCATCCTGAGACTGAATGAAACCACTGATCAATATCCTGAATACTCTTCCAATCATTATCTGATTTCACTAACAGACACTTTGTGCTTTGCAGCTGCTCTGATGTTTATTTCATCCAGTTTATTATCAATCTATCAATCATTATTTGTGATTTATTGATTGTTCTTTAAGGGTGCAGAGCTCTCAGAGTCCCACTGGGTGGCGATAAAACATTAAAGTTTGGTAGAGTCACAATCCAGTGTGTTGTTAGAATGAACTTCCTCTACCAGTGCCTGACTGGATTACACACAGAATGACATCAGACTTTAATAGCTATAAAGAACCAACTATAACCATGTATGACTGTCTGATAACATGACAAAGTATAGAAAGGGGAGGATTCCATCTGATATGACCTGATTATACTGATCTTACACAACTTGTCAGCTTCTTTACTGCCATGTGCACAACAACAGTGAAGCAGTCAGTGGTAAATAATTCTGATTTAAATCTGATAGTTCAATATCTGATACAACACTTGAGCCCGGTTAGTGTGGGTCAGCTTGGCCTAATCACAACAAACAGAATGAGACTTAAAAAGGGAAGTTCACCAAAAAAGAACTGACTGATTTTACAAATGATCTCACACATCTGAAGTTGAGCAAGTGATTGTTGTGCAGGTTCAGCAAACAGCCCGTAGAAAAGATCCAATCTGAGCATCACTGGTTGTTGATCATGAAGCAGACTCCTCCCTTGCTCCTTGCTCTGATTCAGTCAGTCTGCTGAGTCCAGGATCAAAGGGTCGAGCTGAGTCTCAGTGAAAACCATCACGTTACAGTTGTTAGAGTCCAGTTGAGAATCCATTTCCTCCTGAGTTCATCCAGCTTATCATCCACTGACTGAAGAATCCTCTCTAGAGGAGTCCTGGTTAAATGTTTCCACAGTCTGACCAGGACCCTGGCCCAGGATCCTCTTTTCTTTAGGCCTCTCTGTTTTCCAAGTACGGCAGATACAATCATAGATTACATCTGATCACATCAATAGTAACTGAATGCTGTTTCCTTCCAATCACAGGTGATCTGCCTCCTCTGAAGCGCAGTAGAAGCTATGATCTCATACCTCCTAACAGTGAGTCACTGAACTGTTATCCTGATGTTTAAGTTTACAGTATTTCATATCATCATAGCCCATTTAATACAACTCATGGATACTTTTCACCACAGACAATAAAAAACAGCTGCTATGTTTAATTAACTTGTTTTTTTTGTTCATAAGGTACAAAATAGTATCTCATAGGTAAAAAAGTTTGGAACTGTAAATTAATAAAAGTAAGTTTATCTTTTTATCCATGTTTTCTGAATCTCTGTGTTTCAGTGTCTGAGCTCAGGGTTGTTCTGCTGGGGAACAGCTGGTCTGAGAGGAGTTCAGTGGGGAACATCATACTGGGAGAGACTAAGTTCACTGAGGAAGAACCAGACCGATGTCTGAGGGTCAGAGGACAGTTAAAGGACAAAGAAATAGTTCTCATCAACACTCCAGATCTGCTGCATCCTGACATCTCCCAACAACAACTGACAGAACATGTAGAAAACTGTGTGAGACTCTCTGATCCTGGACCTCATGTGTTCCTGCTGGTTCTACAGCCTGAAGACTTCACTGAGGAACACAAACTGAGACTACAATCAATCCTTGAAAAGTTCAGTGATCGATCATTTGATCATTCTCTGGTTCTGATATCAGCACCCACAGAGAAGAGTTCAGCTTTAAAGAAGAAACACATGGAGCACCCTCCAGTAAAAGACCTGATCACAATGTGTAGATACAGACATTTGAAGCTGAAGAACCTTGAACATTCAGAGCTGTTGACACGATTGGGTCAAACTGTAAAAGAGAACAATGGAGAATGTGTCAGCTGTGATGTGTTTGAGGAGGCAGCAGTTGCTTTATCCAGTGAACATCGAAGCTTGAAGCAACAGGAAACAACCACTTCTGACTTGGATCCTGTTGGAGCTCCTGGTGAGGACAGAAAACTGTTTTAATAATGTGGATCAATGTAAATATTCATTGATGAAGTTGAGAATTATTTCTGTTGATGATTTTATGTTTTCACAGAGAGGAAGTCTTACATTGAAAGTGCAACAAGTTATGTCCGCAGCTGTAAGTACATTCATTAGAGAGGATCATCATGTACTGTAGAAGATCTATGAGTTATATTTGATGTCTGTAACTGATGTTTTTGTGTTTCACAGTTTTTAAACCAAACACATCACACAGTTCATCAGCAGTGGAAAGCACAATCAAACAAGGTCAGTAACTGATTCATTCAACAAATATGAATCAGAATTATCAGCCTTTTAAAAAACATTAAAAACTAGGGGTGTGATGATACACTCAGCTCACGAGAACGAGACGAGATTTTAAGAAAACTACAATGACAAAATATATGACTGGACCAACAGACTTTTATTCAACCGAGTTGCACATGTATTTTGAAATGTTTTATTATAACTCTTTACATGTATGATGTAAGCATGAGCTTTTAATAAACTTCTTCTTCCACAAATTGAAACTAAACTAAAATTTATAAAAGTTAAAGTAAAATAAATAAACTTAAATATTTCTTTCTTTTTTTCAAGTGCAAACAATATTATGTGCAAAACCAAATCAAAGTTCTACTCTGTCAATACAGAGCGCAAATAGTGCAAACAGAGCCTGACCAAGTATGTCATTAACAACATGCTGCAACTACACAGCCATGTTCTTTTTTAAGAATGTTAGCATGTCCACATTGTCTGGCAGCAGTTGGGATCTTTGCACATTGACTATGTCTCCTGCTCTTGTTATTGTTGTGGCTCTGGGGCTTGACTGTGGAAGTTGAGGTCCGAATGCGTTTGTCAGTGTTATCTGGCTTCTTAGTGTTTCCTCACAGGTGCAGTTGTTGATTTGAGTACCGAGCTGTGGTGGTGCTGTATATGTCTCTGCATCATGCTTGTATTAGCCTCGGTGTACAGCATTATTTTCATACAATGCTTGCATATTGTCTGTGTCTTATCAGTCACTCTACTGCCATTCATCATTTCCGCCGGGTACCCAAAATTCTGCCAAACAAACGATTTGAAAGTGGCGGGGGCATCTTCAGTGGTATCAGTATTTTCCAATGTCATTCTGGCTGCTGGCTGCTTCTCCTCCTTCTCCTCCTCCTCCTCTTCTTCTTTTCCTTCTCCTTCTTTAGGTCCTGGCAGGCTAGACGTAGCAAAGGCGCATTACTGCTCTCACAGGTCACAAATAGAAGTTTGGATAGCTCACAAATCTCACGAGACAGATTTTTAACGCGACGAGAAATATCGTCGAGTTTAATCTCGCGAGATCTCGTCACACCCCTGTTAAAAACTAGTCAACTAGTCTCAAATGACATTGTATAAAAATGTTATTATATATGAGACGACCTGGTAGCTCACCTGGTTCACATACTAAGGTGAGTCCTTACTGCAGCGATCCCCTGACACATTCAATTCAATTCAATTCAATTTTATTTGTATAGCGCCAATTCATAACAGAAGTTATCTCAGGACACTTTTCAAATAGAGCAGGTCTAGACCCGAACTCTTTAACATTAATTACAGAGACCCAACAGTACCACCATGAGCAAGCACTTGGCGACAAGGGCAAGGAAAAACTGCCTGTTAAAAGGCAGAAACCTAGGACAGATCCTCCGGCTCTAGGTGGGTGGTCGTCTGTCTCGACCAGTTGGGGTGAGAGAGAGAGAGAGAGAGAGAGAGAGAGAGAGAGAGAGAGAGAGCGACAGACAGACAGACAGGTGCACAGCAACAACAGTATTGGCAATGGCAGTCAAGCAGGACCATGGCAGGAGGCTCCACCAGGATCCATGAGAACCTGCGAGACGAGAAAGCACAAGAACTCCGGGGAAGAAGTGTAGTTAGTGACATGCATTAAAGGGACATGAATGAGTGCAGAAAGAGAGAGGAAGAGAGTAGCTCAGTGCACCATGGGAAATCCCCCGATAGTCTAGGCCTATAGCAGCATAACTAAGGGATGGTTCAGGACTCACCTGATCCAGCCCTAACTATAAGCTTTATCAAAGAGGAATGTCTTAAGCCTACTCTTGAAAGTGGTGAGGGTGTCTGCCTCCCGAACCACAACTGGAAGCCGGTTCCACAGGAGAGGAGCTTGGTAACTGAAGGCTCTGGCTCCTGTTCTACTTTTAGAGACTATAGGAACCACAAGTAGCCCAGCATTCAGAGAACGTAGTGTTCTAGTGGGGTAATAGGGTACTATGAGCTCTTTAAGATATGAAGGGGCCTGACCATGAAGAGCTTTATAGGTGAGGAGGAGTATTTTAAATTCAATTCTACATTTTATAGGGAGCCAATGCAGAGTAGCTAGTACAGGAGAGATGTGATCTCTTTTTCTAGTTCCTGTCAGTACTCGTGCTGCAGCGTTCTGAATTAATTGGAGCGTTTTAATGGACTTATTGGGGCAACCTGATAATAAAGAGTTGCAGTAATCCAGCCTTGAAGTAACAAATGCATGGATTAGTTTTTCTGCATCTGTCTGTGATAGTATGTGTCTAATTTTTCTAATATTACGTAAATGAAAGAAGGCAGTCCTAGAGGTCTGCTTTATGTGGGAGTTAAATGACAAATCCTGATCAAAGAGAACTCCAAGATTCCTGACAGTGGTGCTAGAGGCCAAGTTAATGCCATCTAGAGTGACTATATCTTTAGACAATGAGTCTCTAAGGTTTTTGGGGCCAAGAACAAGAATTTCGGTTTTTTCTGAGTTTAACATCAGAAAATTGCAGGTCATCCAGGATTTTATGTCCTTAAGACATGTTTGTAATTTAGATAATTGATTAATTTCATTGGGTTTGATTGATAGATATAACTGCGTATCATCTGCATAACAGTGAAAGTTAATGGAGTGATTCCTAATAATGTTGCCTAAAGGGAGCATATATAAAGTAAATAGTATTGGTCCAAGTACAGAACCTTGTGGAACTCCATGACTAACTTTAGTATTTATGGAGGATTCATCGTTAACATGTACAAACTGAGTACGATCTGATAAGTATGACTTAAACCAGGTTAGGGCAGTTCCTTTAATGCCAATTTGATGCTCAAGTCTCTGTAAAAGAATATCATGGTCAATGGTGTCAAATGCAGCACTAAGATCTAATAATACAAGTACAGAGACAAGTCCATTGTCAGAAGCAGTCAGAAGGTCATTATTAACTTTAACCAGAGCTGTCTCTGTGCTATGATGAACTCTAAATCCTGACTGAAAATCCTCAAATAAACTATTGTTATGTAGAAAGTCACACAACTCTTTGGCGACTACTTTCTCCAGAATCTTAGAGAGGAACGGGAGGTTAGAAATCGGTCTATAGTTGGCTAAAACCCCTGGGTCAAGAGTAGACTTTTTAAGAAGGGGTTTAATTACAGCTACTTTAAAGGACTGTGGTACATATCCTGATAATAAAGAAAGATTAATCATATCCAGTAAAGAAGTGCCAATTAAGGGAACAACTTCTTTAAGCAGCCTAGTTGGGATCGGGTCTAACAGACAGGTTGATGGCTTCGATGAAGAAATGATTGAAGTTAACTGATGAAGATCGATAGCAGAAAAACAGTCTAAATATACATCTAAGTTTACATTGACAGAAGTCCCTGAACTTGGAGAGCCACTGATAACTGTTGATGGCAGTTGGTGATTAATTTTTTCTCTAATAGTAATAATTTTATTATAGAAGAAGCTCATGAAGTCATTGCTACTTAAGTTTATGGGGATATGTGGCTCGATAGAGCTGTGACTCTCTGTCAGCCTGGCTACAGTGCTGAAGAGGAACCTAGGGTTGTTCTTATTTTCTTCTATTAGTGCTGAGTAATAGGCTCCTCTGGCATTACGGAGGGCCTTTCTATAAATCTTAAGATCATCTTGCCAATTTGAGCGATATTCTGATAATTTGGAAGAGCGCCATTTCCTTTCAGATTTCCTAGCTATTTGCTTTAACTGGCGGGTTTGGTGGTTATACCAAGGTGCTAGTCTCCTATGTTTTAATAATTTCCTTTTTATAGGAGCGATAGAGTCTAATGTTGATCGTAGTGAGC